TTAGATATCTTCCACATTGGGCTCTTAAGATTCAGTTTGGCTGGTATTGGGTGATCATCAGGGCAAATTTAGCATGTTGGCAGAATGTACATGTACTGCGCCTGTGCAAATAATATAAATGTGTATCGTGCATAGCACTTCAGCAGAACGTCTCATTTAAGATGCTATTAGCGTATTTAAGGATGACATCCTGTCTATTGTTTTCAAATGTATCGTCTGCTCACTCACTCACTCACTCACTCACTCACTCACACTCACACTCACTCACTCACTCACACTCACTCACTCATTCTCACTCACTCACTCTCACTCACTCACACTCACTCACACTCACTCACACTCACTCACTCTCACTCACTCACTCACTCACTCACTCACTCACACTCACTCACTCATTCTCACTCACTCACTCACTCACTCATGCACTCACATACTCACTCACTCACTCACTCACACTCACTCATTCTCACTCACTCACTCACTCACTCATGCACTCACTCACTCACTCACTCACACTCACTCATTCTCACTCACTCATGCACTCACATACTCACTCACTCACTCACTCTCTCACACACACGCACACACACTCACTCAGTCACTCACTCACTCACTCACTCACTCACTCACTCACTCACTCACTATCTGCGACAGACAAAATTCTGATGCAATGTTGACTGCTCCCAAACCTCATCCTATCTTGGTCAGCTGGTGTTCAGGGGAAGATTCTGAATCTGTGAGATGGGCTTTAGGTGTATCTGTTTCTGAACTTGGCTCAGAACCTGTTATTTAAGCTTCTTTGGCCAATTCTCCTTCTTCACTGTATTCTTGCTGATGCTGTAGGTCTTCTACCTCCAAAGAAGTTCATTTAAGGTAAACAAGGAGTCGCCTTGTGGAATATCCATTCAAGTGCTCTTGGGAAATCAGGGACAGACTGGCCAGGGAATACACATGTACCTGGGTTAACCCAATTAGCTGTGAGTGAGTAAGAAGTCAGGTCATTACAGGGAAATTAATAGGTGCATGTACAGAGGCTTGTAGTGATGACTGTGATAGCATCTGTGATGCTAGGTGACTGCATTCTTTTGAAAACAGTTACTGTTACAGTAGTTACTAGAGGATTCTTTCAACAGTGACAAGTTGGAAGGGTAAGGATACTGACCTCCATTTTTTATCTCGGCCGCCTGAGCGGCCGAGATATTGTGCTCCAAAATATGTACGTTGGATGGTTGGATGGTTGGATGGATGGATCTTGATTTCGACCGTGAAAAAAAAAAACCCAAATGAAACCAATTACTCTGCATGTATACTTTACTTTGTGGTGTCGACCTACCGGATGATAGTGTCGTTATTCTGATACAACGAAGTTGCTAAAAAAGAGGAAATGCTGTTTACCACAAAACCATTGTTTTATATCATAGTATGCATTTAATGTTCTAGAATTTCGCTAATAGCTGCTGTAATTGGACCAATAGATCAATGACATAAATTATGTACATTAACCTTCCATATTTGCTTAAGTCGCAAGATGTCGCTTTTGATTGGTGAATAAATCACTGTGACGCACGTAAATATTCACTTGAAATGAGAAATTACCGCCCAACAAAACGGACCATTAGATTCCCAGTACTGTATTACTCTTTTGTTCTTGTGGTCAACTTGTTTTCTTTGCTTGAATCGCGTAAAAGACCAAGGAAAATACAATGAAATGCATCATTTCGGCGCGTAACACCCGATCTGCCGCCGCCATCTTGGATTTTTTTGGAAAGCTGCAATTTGGCCCAAACCGCTAGAGGGGGCGAATTAAAATGTTTAATATATTCGGTCTGAAGTTTTAGTAGCTCTAGCAGTAGAGGAGAAGTTTGATAATGCATAGAACGGATAAAATAGAATAAAATTAAATGAAATAAAATAAAATAAAACAGAATAAAAAATAAAATGAAAATAAATAAAAAATAAATAAAAATAAAAAAATAAAATAAAATGAAAATCATTGTAGTGGTTACATATACTTAACGTTATATTGTATTTAGCAATGATCATTTAGCAAAAAAATTCGGTACTGAAACTCCGGTATTCAGAATCAGGTACAGGTACAGGTCCGGACCTGGACCTGATCCTCTGGACCTGGAAGAGCCGAACAGGTACCCACCCCTATTGCTAGTGGTGTAATATGGCTGTAATGTCGACACTGTTTGTTGAGTACTAGTACAGTATATTTATATTCCTAATCAAAAGTAACAGTGAAAGATTTGCCCATACATTGGTATTGAAATAAAGAGCACATTTTAGTACCGTTCACCTGTCAATTTGGTCATCTTCCGGGGGGTACGTTTATTCCGGAGGGTATGTATATTAGACTTTGAAGATTTGTCCGGGGGGTATGTTTATTCCGGGGGGTATGTTTATTAGGGACATGAGAGTAGTATGCATTAAATGTTATAAAGATTTGGTAATAACTGCTGCAATTGCACCAATAAACCAAGTTTAAAAAAATTACGTTTTAATATTACCTTGAGACATCTGAATAAGTCAAGACGAAGGTTATGGAAGTGCACTATATTCCTCGGTCGCAAGATGTCGCTTTTGATTAGTGGCCTGAATGGAATTTCCCATATCGAAGATCCCGGATGTAACGCATGAGGCTGGTAAGGTATTTACTTAGCAAAAATAGCAAAATATCAGGAATTATAAGGGTATTAGGCATAGAGCCATAGGATAAAAATGGAGCTAAAGATACTACGGGCAAGGGCAATCAATTACATTGTGTTTTATTCGTGCTGTTGAACAGATTTAAACAGAGTTACGTTCTCCCCCCCCCGTGAAAATTTATGAATTCGTACAACCTAACAATATGTTAGTGCATTAAGCTTGATAACGTTTGACAGCTCTGTTATTGTAGCCACTCCATTTTGTGTTGTCTCATGAAGTTATACCAAAATAAAACATTTCACTTTTGACACATGCATCTTTGCTCTTTATTCATCAGTATTGTCCAGACATTACAATTTCAATGAAACATACAGATGAAACATAGTTCCTCTGTAATATACAACATGACACTACTGATTCCAAAAAATGTCTTCCCCATACATAGAGCTGTGTAACCTACTCTAACAGAGAAATTAGCTCCACATACATATCCTAAACTCTTTCCTGTCTCTCAAATCTTCAATCACAAATGAAAATCTGTATCTCTACCTAAACATTTTCCCTCCCAACATCTGCTTCGAGATTAATATTTTTCACTAATTCCATTGAAGCAAATGATAATGGAAGCCAACTTATTACCCTGTTTGGTGTTACAGGTATGAACATACTAGGTAATACATTCTTTCCTCTCTAGCAGTTACACAAATCTATGTGGACATCCTCCAAGAACACAAAACTACATGGCCAGCGGCCGAGATAAACTTTTTTCAAAAGTCTTGTTTGATGACTATCAGTCCATCTTGTTCACGGAGTGGCCTAGTCTCGCGAGAGTGCGAGGCCCGAGATCCTTACCCTTCAAACTTGTCACTGTTGAAAGAATCCTGTAGTAACTGTATCTATACGTGACAAATGAATCTCTTCAACAAGTTACTGTAGTGTTGTGTATCAAGATGTCAGACGTTGAACTTGTGATATGGAAAATAAAAAGTGCTGTACTATCTAATTAAGTGTCATTGCATAGTGTTATCAGATTGAGGGTTTCAGGGCTCGAAATACCACCTGCATATGCAGGTTAGTGCAGGTAAAATTGTAACTCTGCAGGTATTTCTGGTGTCTACCTGTACCTTACCTACACAGGAGTACTGGGTTTATGTAACATATTAGGTGTGTGTGTATTTTTATTTGCTGTATTGACTGTTACCGCCTATGTTGTATAAAAGAAATAATGGCAATGGTTTCTGAAAAGTTTTTAGTATGATCCATACTTCCTTAAATTCTAAATGGTGCACTAGGCAGGTAAAATTTCTCTGGTGCAGGTAATTCTCAATGTTACGTACACCAGTGCAGATATGCAGAAAGAAATGATTTTGAGAGCTACGTCTTTTTATCGAGGACTCTTGGACAGATGTCAGCTGTCCTTGTCACCTGCGGTAATGACTAATGATAAATTGCCCACTGTTGCCATGGGCAGTATTTTGTCATTATGTGATTACATGTATTCACTGTCGCTTGTGTATACAAACAGACTTTTAAATGTTGAGGTTAGACTTCTTTGACCTTCCAAATGTCAGAGGCTGAATTGGCCCCAGGCCTGTCACTCAAAATACATTCCAAGGGACGGTGGCTAGAACTATTGAAGAAAGCTGCTACTGGAGTACTGTCAGGGAATATAACTTTCCTACATGTATATTGTCTTTCTCTTTATGAAAAAGGTGTTTTTAAAAGAAAAATATACTGTGAAAGACAAGAAGGAACATTTGATTGCCATTCAGTTTTAAAATTTGTATTCTCAGCGCTATAATAGCCAGTTACTACATGTGACTTCTGCATCTACATGTACTAGTCTTACTAGTAATGTAGGCAAAGTTTTCAGTGGCTCATCTCTTGTGTGTAGAGGTGTCCTACATGTAGTACCTGCACTTACATTGTGTAGCACCTAGATGGCACTGTTGTGAAGTATAAGGTTTTGCTGTAAAGGAAATGCATTCAATAATTGTGTACATCACTGCCAATCAATCCACTGTCTTATACATGTATGCTGTATCTTAGTTTCATTATTTCCAGGTACAGATTGAATTTGAAAAGAATTTTTTGGAGTTAATTGAAGTTCAACCTCTCCTTTAGCTGTCTACCTACATGTAAGTGACAGCTACATGTTTGTAGTCTTCCAGGAGAGGACATAAAAGACACGGGATTACTACATAACGTTACAGCTAACATAAAATTACATTTACATACATTACAGTATCAAAAAATAACAAGATGAATGTGTATCATCACATGTGCCCCCCCTTTTCGAGTCTCCATTGTGGAAAGACTGACATATACTGTACTCTGTATCCCTGCAGCTGCTCCCAGGATCACAGTCCGGCCCCAGGATGCTGATGTGGTGGAGGGGACATCGGTGGAGTTTGACTGCAGAGCCGAGGGGCACCCCACTCCCGTCATCGTGTGGACAGTCAACGGTGAGTCTTGGCTTAACGTGGTAGGATTCATTCTGACAAAATCATTTAGAAAGGCATACCTTCTACATTGTAGTTATTGTACTCGGATGGTCAAAGCAATTTCTAACACTTCCAAGTTTAAGTTTGAATTCCACGTTTCCCATGTTGCACAGTCCCAATACATTTTGTACCAGTACCATTAAATAGAACTCTCCTGTAGGAATTCAAATGTTAATTTCTGTAGGAAGCACTTTCATGCAGGAATGACCGTATCCGGTGTATCCAATTGCAGTTTATTGGCCTACCATGTTGATATCTGTCTACAATTAAGTGGAGCAAATTTGTTTTTTGTTTCAAACTTTCAGCTGAGCATCATCAGTCTTTTTTCGTATTTTGTAATAATGGCCATATTTCTGTAATGTTTCTGTCGCCTAGGTAACCAGCTACCAGACGACCGGCGTTTCACTGTGCTGTCCTCCGGAATCCTGCGCATCTCCCGTGTGACCTCGTACGACCGGGGCACGTACGAGTGTCAGGCCGTCAACGTGGCGAGCGTGGACAGGGCACGGGCCGACCTCACAGTCAAGGCCAGAGGTTTGTTTATTTGTTTGTTTATTGTTTATATGCAAATAAAAGCACATCTTTGGTTGGAAATGGTGAAGTGAACATGCAGGGGAAACCGGAAATATTCAAGGTTTATATTAGAAACTAATTGAGAGTAATTACTTTTTCCCCACAATTACTGATCATTATAAGGAACATACAGGTTGATCAGTTGGATTACTGTTACAGTGATGAATTTTGCAAAAACTTGATTCAGTGTCTTAAGCTTGTTTCCTTGAATTTCGTGAAAGTTAAACTTGAACTTTTTTTTAGTAACCCCAACCTTTATAATTGTTTGAGTGATTGGTTTGTAATGACCCCAACTTTGACGATTCATTGGTTGGTTGATTGATTGATACAACAATTGATTGGTTTACAGTGACCCCAACGTTCACGGAGACACCGACAGACCTGACAGTGCAGCCGGGAGGGGAGATCAGCCTGCCGTGTAGCGCCGTAGGGGAGCCTCAACCAGCGATCACATGGAGCAAAGACGGCATCCAGATCTCAGGTTAGTCTCACTAGTACTTATCTTCCTTTTGTGCAACCATAATAGATTATACATTTCATTTATTCATTTATTTCGAAACCTTTTAGCCCCGAAGGGCTAATCTTCCAAGGCTCAAACATTATAGCAATTACAACATAGTGGAAACATTTAAAAATACATACATACATACATGTACACCACATTAACAATAAATACACATAGATATAAACAATTTAAAAGTGGCGAGCAAGGGTCAAGGATCAGGTGACACTACTACTGTTTGAAACGGCTTTCTTAAAACTGATAACATCGCACAGTGTCTTAACGTCAGATGGTAGATCGTTCCAGAGCACGACTGCACGATACAGGAATGAGCGTTTTCTGCTGTTGGACTTAGGTATTGGTAATCTAAAGTTATGTGCGGAAGATCTGGTATTATGACTGTGAGATGCATGAACAGGCAAAAGGGAGTTGTAAATATTTTGTGGTTCGTGACTCGTGAGGATCTTAAAGAACATCAAAGATACATACATGTACATGTGTACATGTACACACATTGTAAGCTGGAAAACCTCAGCTGGTGATCACATGGAGCAAAGACGTCATCCAAATCACTGGTAAGTGATGACATCACTTACCAGTGATTTGGATGAACAGTCACTTTTGCCATTCTGTCACACAACATTGTTGTGTGACAGAATGGCAAAAGTGACTGTTCATCCAGATACATGTACCAAGAGGTTCTGGGTTGAACTTCAAATCCCTGAACTGAACTGTCCTGATGTGCCCTTGGGAAAGGCACTAATTTCCTTACTTCAATAAGTGTAAATGGCTACCTTGCTTTGGTTAGCATTAGTCCTACTCAGCTTTCTTTCATGGAACTGTTGTGACTGTTGCATACAAATAGACAATTTCAAGTGCTAGTGTTGGCTATACATGCATCTACCACATCTACCAGAAGCCAAGTTGGGTTTGGCTTCTTATTCATAAGTGGAGGAAGACAAAAAACACCAATTTTTCCTATTAATTGTGGGTTCCGTGATTTTCATAGGAAGTTAGGTTTCTGTTTGTCCATGAATGTCCATATCTAACGTTACATGTACTAAGGATAAGATGAAGATTGGTGTATGCAGGAAAGCATCACGTTAACAGAACTGTTTCTTTACAGAAAGCAGCAAGTACGGCCTGAGTGCCATCGGACATCTGATCATCCGAGGAGTGGACCAGTCCGACACTGGGCGGTACGAATGTTCCGCCAGAAACACCATCGGCTTCGTCTCCACCAGTATGCAGTTCACTGTGCTGGGTAAGGTTTGAAACATTTTTTTTAAACATTCTGCCTATGTACCTTTCATGGACTACGTCACTTAATGTTGAGTAGCTGGCCGGTGTTCACTGTGCAGGGTAAGGTTTTATTTTAATTTAACATTTTGCATAAATGTACCTATCATGGATTGCATCACCTAATGTTGGGACACTGCGTGGCTGGCAGATGAAGTTGTTGAGACTATAACCTGCAGGGGTATTGACATCTGCTGTGCCCAAGAACTACAGGACAGAGGCAAATGGCGTGCTACCATCAAGCCCCAGTATCAGTGTGCAAGCTTGTCTAACCCTCATTACGGGGAACGACAGACGTTAAACCGGATAGAGAGAGAGAGAGAGAGTACAGGGCAAAAGAAATTTCTCCTACAAATTCTGATTATGTTGAGTATAAAAAATTGTTGAAAGCAATGCCTTTCGACTAGTGTTGGGGTCTTCTTCTTCCTCTTGAGTCATTGCTATACTGTCCCAATCTAGAGTATTCTTCACATGCCCTTCCACTGGGGGTCAGGGATCCTCCTTGGTGCAGGTTTCAGGCAGGAGGGGTGTTTTTTCTACGAATCTTGTGACCTTTCATGAAAAAATAACATTTACATGTAGCTTTATGATAAGGCTGTAAGAGAGGGAAAACTTTACTTCACAAAATTTGCCCCCCCCCCCAAAAAAAAAGGTTGCAAATTTTATCATTTTTCAGAGGGAGGATGCCAGAGTGAGACCCACTACATACTTTGTCCAACTGTACTTTGTTCATGCCATGCATATATAGTCTTCTGTTCCCAACCCCTACATAATGATTGTGAAAATAAATTCTGGCAATAACCCTCATGGATAACATGTATTAGGCCACACCAAGTAAATTTTATGGATGACGTCCGCGCGCGCATTGATTTTGGCCTGTTCCTAGAAAAAAAAAACAAGAAATTCCGCTTCCTGTAACTATGACCAAAGAGTCACGACAGTGCCACAAATCGTCAGATTGACATGAAACCTGTAATGCGAAAACAGGACAGGACGACAATTGCTGTTCCACCTGATTTATTGCTGTTTTGATGATGAATAAAAGACTTCTTGCTTGTTACACTGTGTCACCTCATTCAATTTGTGTCCTAACATTTGTCGTCTCCTAGTATATTTCTAATCTAGGCATCTTGTTTTTTAGGGCCCTTCTTGTTTTTTTTTCGCCCTCTCGCATTAGATTTAGGGTCTCCAAAGGACGTCATCCATAAAATTTACTTGGTGTGGCCTTACCCGGTAATCCTGTTTGTTTCCAGTTTCAGAGACCAACAACTTCATCGGCGACCCGTTTGTGGGGCCGTCCATACAGCGGGCCATCAACAGTGTGGACCGCGAAATCAACAGGACCCGAAACGACCTCTTCTCAAGACCCACCCGGCCTCGCACTCCCTCTGAACTGCTGCAGGTAGGAATGCTTTGCTTGTGTGTTTGTTTGTTTGTTTGACCATGCCATCAACACAACCCGAAATGAATTTTCTCAGCCCACCCAAACACGGAGACTTTGTTGTCGCCTCTGTGTTGAAAGGTATTGTTTTAATGATTGTGTGTTTGTGCTTGTGTGTATCTGTCTGTGTGTGTTTGTATGTACATGTATGTTTGCTTGTGTGTGGACCGTGCCATCAACATGAACCAAAACGCCCTATTCTATGAATGATTTTTGTGTGTACAGTAAGTGTGTGTGTTTGTGTACATGTGTATGTTTGCTTGTGTGTGGACTGTGTCTTCAACACGACCCCAAATGACCTGTTCTCCCGGCCTACATGTCCTTGAATGCCTTCTCAACTGCTGCAGGTAGGAAGGGTTTCAAAACCCTGGTATTATTTCTGCCATATCCAGAGAGGTATTGTTTGGGGTGTGTTTGTGTGTGTGGGTGTGTGTATGTGTGTGTGTGTGTGTGTGTGTGTGTGAGTGTGTGTGTGTGTGTGTGTGTGTGTGTGTGTGTGTGTATGTGTGTGGTGAGTGAGTGAGTGTGTGTGTGTGTATGTGAGTATGTGTGTATGTGCGTGTGTGTGTGTATTTGCTTGTGTTCGTTCAATGTACTACTAAGTACATTGTATTTGAATGAGACATCACATCAGAGGGTATAACAATCTGCTCTTCCCCTGTCCAGTTGATGCGGTTCCCCTCCCCGGAGGCCCTGAGCCTGGCCTGTGTGTCTCTGAGCCTGTGCCTGTGTGTGCGTGCGTGTGTTTGTGTGCGCGTGTGTGTGCGTGCGTGCGTGTGTGTGTATGTGCTTTGTTCGTACAATGTACAAGTGTTTGAATGAGACATCACATCACATGAGTAGAGGGTATAACATTCTGCTTTTTCCATGTTCCAGTTGATGCGGTTCCCGTCCCTGAAGCCCTGAGCCTGGCACGTGCGGCGGAGGTTTTGAGCGAACGCTGCAGCTGGTGCGACAGGAGGTGGAGCACGGGATGAAACTCAACCTGGAGGATTCGGGTACATTCATTTGCTATATGGAATTAGAAAATTAAGGCCACACCAATTTAATTTGTTGTTTCTCTGATTTTTCTAGAAAAAATATGGAGCGACAGGGCGAAAAAAAAAAACAGGCTAAGGTACCCCATGATAGCCGGCAATGTTACAATTAAAACAATAGATTTTGAACTTCTAATGAAACAAAATTGCACTGTTACATTGAAAAAACTTAAACAACTAGGAAGGAAAGGACTTTCTTCAACCGTTGGGGCCAAAATATGTCTTTCATTAAGCATTTTGCAGTTGATTTAGAACCCAAAAGAAAAGTTTTTTGTTGCAAAAAATGGACAGGGCGAATCCGAGAAACAAAAAATTAAATTGGTGTGGCCTAATGAATGTTCTGCTAGTGATAACCATTAACAGTTACTCAAGCAACTGGATATGATTTTGGAAACGGTCAAAATTGTTGCCTTTTTTTGCAGAGTACTCCTACACAGAGCTGATCTCCCCCAGCCACCTTCGCCTGGTGGCAAACCTGTCAGGGTGTTCCACCCACCAGCAGACGGTCAACTGTTCCGACAGGATCTGCTTCCACCAGAGGTAGAGAGTTAGAACTCTTAGATTCACGAAGAGCCCGATTATGTATGCAACAGCATCAGGTCCAAAGAACATGACATCAGTCTCTTGACACATTTTCGATGTGTGTAAGAATACGTCTTGGCAGACGTCTGTTCAGAATATGACTACGTAAATATAAAATGAAATAAGTCTAATTACCACAAGGTAATTTAAAGTTGAGTATTATAGTTTTACAAATTTTAGCAAGTGTCCAAGATAATTTTATCAGTGTAACGTATAACTGATTGCTTCTATGTCATGTCACAACTCAATTCAGCTAAATCGACATAGCTGCTTTTTTATGACAACTGGAAACTGTTTTAAGTGTGAATAAACCATTCCCTCTCTCAGGTACCGATCCTTCGACGGGACGTGCAACAACTTCCAGCACCCCATGTGGGGGGCGGCCCTCACCCCCTTCAGGCGTCTGCTCAAACCCATCTACGAAAATGGCTTCAACACACCAGTAGGATGGAACAGGTCTGTATCTGTATAGCCAGTATAACTGCCCTTCAACATAACACACCAGCTTCTGTATCTGTATAGCCCGTATAACCGCCCTTCGGCGTAACACACCAGCTTCTGTATCTGTATAGCCGGTATAACCGCCCTTCGGCGTAACACACCAGCTTCTGTATCTGTATAGCCAGTATAACTGCCCTTCAACATAACACACCAGCTTCTGTATCTGTATAGCCGGTATAACTGCCCTTCGGCGTAACACACCAGCTTCTGTATCTGTATAGCCGGTATAACCGCCCTTCGGCGTAACACACCAGCTTCTGTATCTGTATAGCCGGTATAACCGCCTTTCAACATAACACACCAGCTTCTGTATCTGTATTTGACACTTGTTAGGAGTAGATACTTGGTAAGTCCTTTTGTACATTTTTCTTCATTTGCCATTTTTCCTTCACAGGTCACACCTGTACTTTGGGTTCTCCAAGCCCAGTTCGCGAGGAGTGTCCACCCAGGTCCTGTCCACTTCCACCACCACTCCGGACTCTAGGTATGTTACGTTTGTATATAAACAGACATTGAAAGTACCTTACAACCACTAGATGAGTTGTGTACTTTTTACAAATAATGAATAATTACATTCCATAATCCATATTCACACTCTGTAATTACTCACAATCTGTACATGGTGGGAACTATGAATTATCTGGGAAATTATGAATTGTAGGGAAAAGATAATGAATGCTCTATGATGTATGTCTTGTATGTTACAACAGGTCATATATAAGGAATTGGACTATTCTTATAATAAGTTATATCTGCATATTTTTGTTCTATAGTTTCATCGTGGGGTCGTTTGGCGTAACGGCAGAGTGCTCGACTCGGAACCAAGAGGTCCCGGGTTCGAGTCCTGACATGCCACCGATCTTGTGCCCTTGGGAAAGGCACTTAACACGACTTTCCTCACTTAACTCAAGTGAAAATAAGTATTGTCTGTCCTGTATTTGTTTCTATGTGCAGGACACAACACCAGCAACAGCTGCCTCTGCTCCACGTGTATTGTATTGTTACAATCTCAATAAATAAAAAAATCAAAATCATTAATATCACCACTGGAAGGTGTAACCCAGTTCCTGAATGTCTTGAATGAACTTTTCCTGAATGTATTTTTTCCAGGTACTCTCACATGGTGATGCAGTGGGGACAGTTCCTGGACCACTATCTTGCATGTTTAAGAAATTGGACTATTCTTTTATCTTCCTGTCCTAAAGGCACTGCTATCATCTGCTATCATCTGTCCTAAGTAGTCCCACATGGTAGTCAGAAGACGTTTGTGTCTAGTGTCCAAAGTACTGACATCACTGAAGGTGGAAACCAGTTCCCAAATGTCTCTGTCTCGATCAGTGGTTTTGAGAAGTTTTGAAGCACACAGGTCCTAAAGTCAGACTTTTTTGTATTATTTTCCCAGGTACTCACACATGGTGATGCAGTGGGGACAGTTCCTGGACCATGACCTTGACCTTGCCGTGGAGAGTTCGAGCGAGTTCACCTTCAGCACGGGGCTGAGGTGTAATGAGACCTGTGACAACACCCCGCCATGTTTCCCCATCGAGATCCCCCGCGGGGACCCAAGGATTCGACACAGGTGGGGTTTTCTATTCTTTAAAAAAAGTGGTGATGAGGTAGCGAGCCCCTTTTCAAAACTATAGCATCATATTGTAACATATAACAAGTATACCGGTAGTTGACAACAGAATGTCTCAATTGAGTGTATAAGTGAGGCCGTAGGTAGCAGAGCAGTTTTTGCCAATGGTTGATGCAAACGTTAAAATAACTCATCATTCTCATGGTCCCCGGTACCATTTGTCACAAAATGTAGGCCACCACTGCTTTCCACTCTCCTCTGGCCACACGCGCGTGCACACACACACACACACACACACAATCAAAACAAAAGCAATGGGATAAAGAATTCGAATTGAAGTTCCTTAGAATTGGAAGCAGTGGTGGCCTACAATGTACATTGTGTGACAGATGGTCTTGCTCCTTTCCAAGTCATCTCCTCAATCTCCTCATTACAGGTTTTCCTAGGCTGATTAAAACACCAACATTCAGCCGGCCCCCTGAAAAGTTGAGGGGAAGGGCCATCAAAGCCACAGATAGCGCATAGAGTTTGCGTTACACAGAACATGTTTTCCCCATGTTTGCATAATTGGATTTATCTAAACGACTGTATCCCAACAGATGCATGGAGTTCAGAAGATCGAGTGCCGTGTGTGGTACCGGCAGCACGTCCCTCTTCTTCAACGAGGTCACTCCCAGAGAACAGATTAACACCCTGACGTCCTTTCTCCAATTTTCTGTACCTCCTCATTACTGTTTTACAGGAGATCGTGTGTGGCACATTTTGAAGCAGAACAGAGCTACAGTGGCTGCTCAGCACATATTTTACATGTAACATCCGTGTCCATAAATAAATGTATCACCAGGGTCCATAATATCGCCACCTTGAGAAATAGTGTGCTTTAAGATATTTTTACTGCAACATACTTTTGGTATGCGCTCCTTCACACATCAAATGTACATACCTAGGGTATGTTGCAGTAAAAATATCTTTAAGCACACTTTTTCTCAAGGTGGCGATATTATGGACCCTGGTGATATTATGGACACAGATGTTACACAATGTATATATTGAGCAGTATTTTGTTTGGGTAAACCAATGGTGAAGGTAAAGATTATGCATTTGCCCTGTCTAGTCTAAACGACTGTATTCCAACAGGTGTATGGAGTTCAGAAGATCGAGCGCTGTGTGCGGTACAGGCAGCACGTCCCTCTTCTTCAACGAGGTCACTCCCAGAGAACAGATTAACACCCTGACGTCCTTCCTGGACGCCTCCAACGTCTACGGGAGTAACGACCTCTACGCCACGCAGATCCGGGACCTATCCAACCGGCTGGGGTTACTCAAGGGCGGGCTGCGGCAGGCCAACGGGAAGTACCTGCTGCCGTACAACACCGAGCTGCCGATCGACTGCCAGAGAGGGCAGCACGATAGGTGTGTAGATCATACTACAGTAGGTCAGAACTACATGTACATGATTGTATGTAATACTATGATTTAGCATTAATCTGTGACCACACTGTACCAGAGATGCATCGAGCTATGTAGAAAATTCGCATTTTCTGTAAAAAAGTCATCTTTTAGTTGTCAAATATGTCCCAATTCAGTGATTGTAACTGCAATGGCATACTACATGTAGTATTATCTGTTATTTCATTTTATTGAAATAAACCTGTTATTCATTCATTCTTTCGTAGCCCCATTCCGTGCTTCCTTGCTGGCGATGTGCGTAGCAACGAGCAGCTGGGGCTCCTCTCGATGCACACGTTCTGGATGCGTGAGCACAACCGCGTCCAACAACACAAAAAGTTCTCTTTGGACCAGTCACTCTGGTCTTCCTCAGTAGAATGACCCAGTGTTGACGTCACACTTCAAAGAAGCCACGTGACAAGCCTCACTGGGTCAGTCTACTGAGGAAGACCATAGTGACTGGTCGAAAGCTCTAGGGGAGAGAAACTTTTTGTGTTGGACCAAAAGGTTTAACTTTAAACATGTAACTACCAACACAGATGAACTTTCATGATAACGGCATAAACCTGTTATTCATTCTTTCCTAGCCCCATCCCGTGCTTCCTGGCGGGCGATGTGCGCAGCAATGAGCAGCTGGGTCTCCTCTCCATGCACACGCTGTGGATGCGCGAGCACAACCGCGTCGCGAGGGAGCTTCGTCGGCTGAACCCGCACTGGGACGGCGACACAATCTACCACGAGGGGCGGAAGATCGTCGGCGCGGAGATGCAGCACATCACGTTCGCCCACTGGATGCCGAAGTTCGTCGGGCAGAAGGGCATGGAGCTCATCGGGGAGTACCGAGGCTAGTACATGTAGTAGTAATAATGATTGTTTTTTTTCTCCTTAGGCCACACCAATTTGATTTGTTGGTTCTCAGATTCGCCCGCTTCATTTTTTATGAGTTGCAAAAAAAACAACATTTCAGCCTCTGAATCAACTCCAAAATGCTTATATTTTGGCCCAAACAGTTGAAGGAAGTCCCTTCTCTTCACAGTTGTTACAGTTTTTCCATCTAACAGTGTAGTAGTTGATCAAAAGTTCAAAATTCATTGAATTACAAACCAGCCTGGTTCCACTGACATGATTTTTTTTAAATCAAAACATTGTCGGTAAACACAATACATAAAAAAAATTCTCTCCCCTCTAATACTTGTGTTTTCACAACATATCTGGTGACTCAGGCTACGACCCGAACACGAACCCCAGCATCATCAACGCTTTCGCCACCGCCGCCTACCGAATCGGCCACACCCTGATCAATCCTATGATCTTCAGACTCAACGGCAGCTTCCAGGAGATTCCGGAGGGACATCTCCCCCTCCACCAGGCATTCTTCTCTCCCCAGCGGGTCGTGGAGGAGGGAGGAATCGACCCGGTCCTCCGGGGACTGTTCGCGACGCCGCTGAAGCAGCGGAACTCGCGCGAGTTCGTGAACACGGAGCTGACGGAGCGACTGTTTGAGATGGCGCACCACATTGCGTTGGACCTGGCCGCGCTGAACATCCAGCGGGGACGGGACCACGCGCTGCCCGGTTACAACGACTGGCGGAAGCTGTGCAACATGACAGCCGTTAACGACTGGGACAGCTTGAGGCATCAAATTTCAGACCCACAGCTGAGGGACAGGCTGCGACAATTGTATGGTGGGTTTTAGTTTTTATATTTCAACATTATCTTTATTTTGCACAGAGCAACATGAAAAAAGGACACATTTAAACACTAGAACAAATGAAGAGTTAAAAATACCTTGGTCAGCTCAGAAATCTATGGGGCCTAAGGTTAAAAGAGAAAAAGGTACCGTGCAGCAGTAATCAGTATTTCACTTATGCAGCCTGAGGTACCAAATCTCTGTGACTATTTGAGTAAGAATCAACAGAGCAGACCATACATGTAAAGTTATGTGAAGGTAAACATTAAGCATTTGCTTTTCAAATGTTACCTTTCTAGTGTTTAAATGTATTTCATTTTCCGCTGTCATCGTGAACAGGTCACCCGGGAAACCTGGACCTGTTTGTTGCGGGAGCAGTGGAGGATCTCGTACCGGGCTCGCTGCTGGGTCCAACGTTTCTCTGCATCATCACACAGCAGTTCAGGAACATCAGGGATGGAGACAGGTACAGATGAATCACATTCTGAAGCAAGTTTGAGCTGATTTTCACCACAAAAATTTGACTCTCCCAAATTTCTAATTTTCAGCTCCAGTTTTTGATAGATAATGAATAAATTCACAACAATATTTACCACTACTTTGCAGAGGTGTGTGATCTTAAATTTTTAGTTCATTATTTCTTGTATGGCCCCAGCTTTTTGTCAATGAGGCCTAATCAGCCCAACAGTGAGAGGTTGAATGTGTAACACAGGCTATGATGTTAGAGGTGTATGGCCACAAGTTCTCGAGAATGAGGCCCAATCAGCCACTGATGACAACAAGGGATTGTGTGACACAGGCTAATGCATCACCTTTCAGGGGTCTCCCCATAAATCCTCAGGGGAGAGGTGCTCCCTAATTGGTTGATGAAAAATCAGCAAATTTTCATGAAAATACTAAGAGAAAACCCTAAATTTGAACATTTTGGGAGAGATTCTATGATTTTGGGAAGAGGGGGAGCACCCTTGCTCCATTGCTTGGGGTGAGCATTGCCTTTACAACACTCAGATAAACATGCACTCCTCTCCTTTCCCACCAGGTTCTGGTACGAGAACCCCGGTGTGTTCAAGCCCTCCCAGCTGTCCCAGCTACGTCAGACCAGTCTAGCTCGAGTCCTGTGCGACAACGGCGACAGCATAGACAGGGTACAGCACGATGTGTTTCTGAATGCAGACTTTCCCACTGGTTACGTCTACTGTGATAACGTACCCAGGATGGACCTCACAGCCTGGACAGAGTGCTGCGAAGGTACAGTTTCGTTTGTTTGTTTGTTTGTTTGTTTGTTAGTTTGTTTGTGTGTCCATTGTTATACGAGCATAGACAGAGTGCAGCAGGACGTGTTTCTGAATGCAGACTTCCCCACCGGGATATGTCTACTGCGACAACGTTCCAAGGATGGACCTCACCGCATGGACAGAGTGCTGTGAAGGTACAGTTTTGTGATAGGTGTACAAAATGTAGGTGTTTGTGTGTCTGTTTCTGAATGCAGACTTCCCAACGGGCTATGTCTACTGCAATAACGTACCAAGGATGGACCTCATCGCATGGACATGGCGAAGGTACGTGGTTGTTTGTTTCTTTGTGTGTGCATATATTGTTATACGAGCATAGACAGAGTGCAGCACGACGTGTTTCTGAATGCGGACTTTCCAACGGGATATGTCTACTGCGACAACTGTTAATACTTCCTAAACACAGACTTCCCCACTGGCCACATGTACATGTATGTCTACTGCGACAGTGTTCCAGGAATGGACCTTACCACCTGGAGTGCTGCAAAGGTACAGTTTTATTTGTCACTTTTTCAACAGGCAGTACGTGACTGTGTTAATGTACCTTTTTTTGTTTGCATGGTGTCAAATTGCCCAGTGGTTAGGCTAGCAGACTAGACTCAAGATCGAGATGTACCTTAAGTTTTTAATCACTGGGAAACTATGCTTTGCCTTACCACATTTTTAATTTCCTAACATTCTGATGATTTCTTTCTTTCTCTTGTTTTTTTTCAGACTGCGCCAACTCTGCAGAATTCGGCACTGTGTCTGGAACATTCCGTAAGCGACGCTCCGCCCGGTATTCCGAGCGCCCGGATTCCGTGAACTTCCTGGAGACCGCGAAGCAGAGAAGAAAAACGGCGAAGATGGGAAAACAGGAGGAATTTGTAGCCATGAAACACAGACATAACGGCGGCAGTAAACACAGGCTCTCCAAGCCTAGACATGACAGGGTTGACACAGTGGCGGAGTATCATGCTTTGGGACAGAACGTTACTCTAACTCATGAATCGGACCGTGTGTCGCGTCTGGAGTACGGCATGATGATGATGCAGGACATAGCAGGGGACCTGCAGAGAGCGGTCTCGCAGCTCACAAGAAAGGTGGGTGCTTCAAGATATTCCAGGATGATTCTTCAGACAAATGTCTAAATGTCTGATGATGATTTGATCTTAGATTTTTGTATTTGCATGTTCTTGCCCACCTAATTTCAGTAATTGATTATGTGTAATATTTTTTTACAATTTTAAGTGTCAGGAAAGTGATAAAACCTTTGTTGTAAATTGTATTATGTGTAAAAAAACTTAAATCTTAAAATTAGTTGTAGAATTACAGCTTAAAACTTTGAAGACAGGCAGTAAAGTTTGTAATTGCCAGTATTTTCTGACATTGTACTTTCTGTTGTGCAAGATTTTTCTGTACACCTAACTCCTTTGTCTATGTGTACACTTTTTGCTGGTATGACATGTTTTGTACATGCATATTTAACTGTATCTGTATCTGTATAGCCGGTATAACTGCGTAACACACCAACTGTTTGTACATGTAGGTGCGAGAGTTTGAGGTTCAGCTGGAGCACCTGCAGACGTGTAAAGACGAGGAAGGGAACAGATATACATTGTACTAACATAACTCCTAACTCCTACATAATGTATATGGCAGTCTGTTCTTGTACATGGTGTCATTTGTCTGTCTGTATGTCTTCTTGCTTGTATGACGTGTCTTGTGCATGTAACCGTTTCCAGGTGCGAGAGTTTGAGGTCCAGCTGGAGCACCTGCAGACATGTAAAGACGAGGAAGGGAACAGGTACCAGGACGGGGACACCTGGGACCCAGACGACTGCACAGCATGCAGATGTCAGGTGAGCTCAGGAGGGGTCAATTTGGTACAAGGAACAACTTTTTAGAAAGTCACTGATATTGGAAATTACAGTTTTGTTAAAAATGATGTCCACCAACACAGATGAACTTGTACGACTTTATTGAAGAAAATTAGTGGTGTTCCTGAGATTTCTTTTTTGGTTTGAGTTTTTGGTTATACATGTATTGTAAAATCAGCCTCCTGACTGCTTTTCATTGAGGGAAGATTTCAAGCTTGAGACAAAATACATGTATAACAAGATATAGGTTAACATCTGTGTCCATAATATCATCAGGGTCCATAATTTTGCCACCTTGAGAAACAGTGTGCTTAAAGATATTTTTACTGCAACATACTTTTGGTATGCACTCCTTCGCACATCAAAATAATGTTCATACCTAGGGTCTGTTGCAGTAAAAATATCTTTAAGCACACTGTTTCTCAAGGTGGCAATATTATGGACCCTGGTGATATTATGGACACAGATGTTACATGATTGAAGTCCCCACCGATCTATTGACATACACTCAGTTGTAATAAATCCATAGACATTTACCGGTAACCTTACCTATACATTGTATCACAACGAAAGGAATGTTGGCATGTAGATCATGTCCGTTTGTTTGGGTCATTTTGGTTATTATTACAATAAGTCAAGGTTGCAGTCCTTAATATATTGTTGTATTTTTCTACAGGAAGGAAAGGCCACGTGTGTAAGACAAAAGTGTCCAGAGAAGAGCTGTGCGAAACCACTACTGATACCAGGGGAGTGTTGTCCTGTATGTGTGTAGCCAAAATAAGCGCAGCAGTCACTTTAAGGTCTAGGAAATAGTTCTCAAACTTCCAAAGTTCTGTTTTATTCATTTGTTGTCCCCCAGGAGTTAAGATTTAATAGCTTTTTTTACAGGAAAGCTTTTTTTTTACAGTAGAGTTCCCTTCCCAACATGACTTGTACAATACTTCAGAATTTCTGTTTCACTTTGTTTCCCCATATTCATTTGTTGTTTTCCTCGAGTTACATGTAAGATTAGCACAAGCATCTTTTTTTTTTCCAGGTCTTTTTTTTCCAGTTTCCTTCCCTGCATCAAGTATTGTACAACTTTGTATTAAGATTAATGTACATGTATTTGCCATGGCTATGTCATGTCATCCTTTTTATCCATGTTGAGTTTATACATTTACATTAGAATATGTTTTTTTCCTTTTTTTTTTTCAAATTATACCTTTAAAAAGTACAAAGCAGTATGTTGTCATCAGGAATTTGACTACTGATTGATATATATGGCTTTTGGGATTGCTTAAATTCAGCTTGGTGCCAGAAAGGGTAATTTAGGTGATGTTTGGTACTTAAAAAGAGACATGTACATGTAACATCTGTGTCCATAATATCACCAGGGTCCAAAATATCGCCACCTTGAGAAACAGTGTGCTTAAAGATATTTTACTGCAACATA